TTTTTTTTATTGATTTCAGAGAGAAAGGGAGAGGGGGAGAGAGAGATAGAAACATCAATGATGAGAGAGAATCACTGATCAGCTGTCTCCTGCACACCCCTACTGGGGATCGAGCCTGTAACCAGGGCATGTGCCCTTGACCAGAATCAAACCTGGGACTCTTCAGTCCATAGGCCGATGCTCTATCCACTGAGCCAAACCAGCTAGGGCCATGGGCCTTTTTTTTAAGTGTCAGGTGTTGAATGGTTCAGTAAGTTAATGAAGTCCCAATCTAAGTGATTTGTCTTCTGTATAACTACAGAGGTGTCTCCACCTAATTCATTAGTTAAGTAAATGAAATACCTAGTATGAATGTGGTAGAAATAGGTGATCATTGTGTATTCTTAATTTTTTTTTATACTAATACTCATTTTGTTTAATTGGGCTAATCTAAGGCATAATGTGCAGTCTATTCATATAAATAAATAGATTTTTAGATTCAGGTATTTTGTTTCATTGCCTTAGGTTGCTTAAGCACTTTTGTACTTTGGTATCATAGAGTGATTACCTTAACACTCACTTTGATGATGAAGCTAAGACCAGTTGGGCGATTTAAACAATCTAGACAACCAGTAAGGCTGTTGCTGGGCAAATATTGTGGTATAAACTCTGTGTTTCCATGACACTGTTCAGCCCATTTTTCCATGTTAAAGACAACAAAGTGGTGGGTGGCCCAGCCACTCCTTTTTCTAGGAATTTGCCCCAGCCACAGACACTACATTTTAAACCAAGTGACCTAAGCTCAAACATGATGCACAGTCTGGTCATGGGGAGTGATAAGATATCACTGAGCCATAGCAAGAAAGATCCAAGGGGGCGAATGAACCAACACACACACACACACACACACACATTCCGATTGCTAGAGTAAGATATATAAGAAATAATGCATTCAAAAATGGGGTTGAAGCTGTGCTGGGGTGAGGAGGTGGTAATGAAAAATTTCTAAGGTCCTGAGTGATAGCTGAAATAGACACATACAAACATCTTCTCTTCTCCTCACAGCTCTAGAAATACTATAAAGTCTCACATACGTTGACATCTGGCAAAATATTCAGATTTTCTTGCCAGATGTGCATTCCTTTTGGCCACAATGAGATGATACTTAACCTCAGTGTGAGGACTAAGTTAGCATTAGTGCTCTATAGATGAACACACTATTTTTTTTTGAAGGTAGTTGTTTCCTTCTCAAAAGTCTACTCTTTAGAACTTGGCAGGACATCTTCTCTTTTCCTGTGTTGGCTCAGACTGTGCTATACATTGGTTTGGCAGCATATATTGAATTCTGCCTCATGACTTGGACAGAGTGTATCTTGGATTCATTGTATGTTGGTATGATTTATAGAACTTAGGCCAGATGAACTCAGGAAGCCCTCAAGGTGTGGAAATAAGAGCAAAGAGAAGGATTTGCAAAATATGGTCTAAAGTTCTGCTGTAGTAGGCTACATATATTTTATTCTTTAAATAAAAAACAAACTATCAAAACATTAGGAGCAACATGAAATGTTCCTTACTTGTAAAAAGTGGAGGAAGTTCAAGTATGAAAACCAGGTGCTGTGATCCTTTGAGTCCAGGAAATGGATGCCTGTGCATTTAGTTTCCTGGTCATTAATATGTGCTACCTTACTCATATTTAGCTTTTAAAAGACTAAAACTATAGCATTGCTTCTTCTTTGCACAATATATAGATCTAATAATAAGGATAATGGTAATAATAATGTATAGCATGTCATACTTAAAAAGTTATTTTCACATATGCTCTTGATTCTTCCCCACACCCTGCCAAGTACAGTGACAGGTAAGGAAACAAAGGCACACATGTGAGCATACCCAGAAGAGCACACCAGAGACCGTGTCACACAGCTCTCAGTCTCGGGCTCCTCCCCTACCTCACACTCCCATGAGTGTATTGCTATCGAAATCTATCTTGTGCTTCTATAGAGCTAGAAAACCTGGAAGAACTAGACAAAGACAAATGAAATCATTAGCCTTCAGTCTAGGTTCTAATGGAATATGTAATATTTTTCATTTGGGACTGATGTAATATTGTTTCGCAAAATGGAAAATCTAGCAAGTAGAAAATAGAGTCTGAATATTTTTGGAAGATACTTTCCACAAAAGAAGAAGAGAAGGCCTCTAGTTAGTTAACATAAAAATTACCTGGCAACATTGCTATCTATCTATATATTTCCATCTATTAATAGACAACTAACTTCCTATTTTAAATATATTGCTTTGAGATAACACTTGGCCGTGATCCTGAAACTCACTCCCAAAGCACACCAAACTGCATTTGAAGAAAACAAAGCATAACAGAAGGAGAAGAAGGAAAACAGGCTTTTCTCCAATAATGGATTTACTTGTTTAGAGCTCAGAGTTCCTACATGAAGTAGAAATTCCCTATTCATAACAAATAGTAGACATCAATTTTTGAGATTGACTGTTATGACTGATACTTCCTCCAAGCAAGTTTCTCTATCTCTATCTCTATCTCTATCTCTATTTCTCTCTCTATCTCATCTATCTATATCTATTGTACATGCTTTTGTAGAATTTCAGGAACAGCTTTTATCTGGAAAATATGGCTGCCTGAAAGAGGTATAAAATATAACAAAAGCTTTACCCCAAAGCTTCTATGCATTACAAAAGCTTGCACTTGGATAATAGAAATATTTAGCCTCAGGTGACTGAGAACACTTACTGTTGGTTGCATAACGTATGGCGGATGAGGCATCCATGAAGTACTCTGGACCTATGCATCAAACAGCATTTATTAGCACAAAGCAATCACAGAGAGAACTTGGTTCTTGCGTTCAGTGGAGTCACACTAGATCATAAAAAAGTGGAGTCCACCTGATTTTACAGCTAATTAGTGCTCAAAACTAAGGATAGAAAGCACATTCTTGGACCTGATTCATTTGGTCCCTGAGACATGATAAAATATAAAGCAAATTCCTGCTTCACTGGAGCTGGCTGCAGTGCCCACATGGACCAGGCTGGGAGTTGGAGCATATTTTGAGGATGGTGTTAGAGACTAAAGTATCAGGTAGCCTCAGGGACCTCCGATTTAGAGGTCAACTCCCAGGGATACCCAGGCAAATACTAAGGAAGCAAGTGTTTATGCTAAGACTTCCTTTTTTTCTGTCATTTGTTTGAACTTCAAATTCTCAAGTGATTCTCATCTTGGAAATAAGTCCAAGCGGTAAAAGTTGGGGTAAGAGTTAAATAGATCAACCAAAAATTGGGGAAAATGCTCTGGGATCTACCCAAGTTAAGCGAGTTTGTAATATTTTTTCTTTCATAGTAACTGGTATGTAAATAAAAATGAGTATTTGAGCCAACTGTTCTGAAACGGGCCTTGTCAGCCAAATGCGAACGTCAACTTGAAGAGCTGTTTGTCACATAAAGAACCTTAAAGATTTTGTTTTCAGTATACTCACACAAGCAAAATTGCCAATGCCATTTAGATTAAAAAAAAAAAAGGAAGAAGTGTTGAAAGGCAAGAATCAACAACATAGGAAATTGCTCTAATTCCTTTTATGAGAAAAGAGAGCTGGGGTTAAATTCCACTTAGGAGCCCTCCCAAGTAAAGTCACTTTTCTGTGGATGTTTTATTCATGTCACCAAAGTGCTCCACACTGGGGCTCAATGGGTGGTCTTGGCTGAAACAGAGGCCAAGAGTAGGGGAAAAAAAAAAGGTTTAAAAAAAAAAAGCCCCAAATACACATTACAACCAGGCAGGCCTGTGTGAGGAACGAAAAGGGAACAGCACCTGCACAGAGCCTCGGGGGTCCCAGGGAAAGGCAATTAGGAAGTCAGCCATTCAGAGACCCTCGGATGCAATTCACACGCAAGTCTATTCTGTTCGCCCACCAACATGTATGAAGAATCTAAGTGCAGGAAATGAATGAACATGAACTGCGTCGGGGGGGATCCGCTAAGGAAATATGTGTGTAGTCTCGAGTTTGATGCTCTGACAACTGGGGCGTCCAGAGATGAAGTATGTAGTGGCTGAATAAGGTGACGCTTAACTGAATTAGGAGCAGTCAGCAGCATCAGTGTTACCCATTGTAAAACCCCCATCCCCACCATCTGCACAAGACAGAGAAACACATGGCGTGCATGCTCTTGCACTCTCTCTCTCGCTCTTTTCTCTTTCTCCAGAGTTTTAAAAAATGACACTAGAGGCTCTATGTTACATGGATAGTGATTTCTTTTTAGAATTAAGAAGAATTGTCTGAGGAACAATATGAGGGAAAGAGAAGCAGGGAGTGGTATCACATAGTTGATAAGTCAAAAGAAATAAGACAAGAAGTCGTTTTTAAGGGAGAAGTGTGACTATTGCAATCCACCTGTGTACATAGAGTTAACTGGCTACAGCATCTGGTTTAGGACACACACCGATTCTCAGATTTTCTTGTGTTTCAACATTTGGAACCCCTGAGGTCTCCTTGGGCTCTTTAGGAACTGAGAACATAGGAAGTCAGAACAGACAGGAGGAATCACTCTTTACCACTTTGATAATCTTTTCTTATTTCCTGGGGAAACTGATTGAACATCAGTCCATGTAGTTTTACATGGATACACAGGACAACTGTGACAAAATGAGATGACAATGGTAAAACATGCCGGAGTGAGGGCAGGGAATGCGAGAAATGTGCTTTTAGAAAAGACACATTAGGAAGCGTGACAACCAAAATAACAGACAGCAAACAAAAATCATTTCTCAGTGGTAAGAAAGACAGCGGTACTAACGTTGTCTGGGAAGTAGCATAATCATGAAAAACTCAGCAGGTGTTTTTTCAGAAGAATGAAAAGCACGGTGGATTTTACTACTCAGTGAAATAGATGCGAACAAGCCCTTGAAAGTGTAGACTAATTGGTGACTTGAGCATTACCACATCAGGACGTGAGTCAAGTGTGCGAGGGCGATTTTTAAAGGTTCTACTGTGTCTTGACCTCTATGGCGATTATCACTGGCAAGAGAGATCTCTCCTGAGGGGCGGGGAATCGGACATACCTGGTATGTGGAGACAGGGGAAGCAGCAATGAATGGCGTGATAGATGTCTGTGGAATCATGCGGTTGGTTGCAATACTGTACGGTGAAGAATAAAATCTGCAAACAGAAAACAACAACAAAAGAAGAAGGTTCATACAGCTGCCGAATGCCTGGCCGCTCAGCAAATGCTACCAAGCACTCCTGGGGAAGACAGAGTTCCACCCTCACGTTCGCCCACCAACTCTGAACAGGAGCATCCAGGAGGTTCGTTGGATTGGATTCCACTAAGAGAAATAAGTCGTTCTGAACAGACACGACAACTTGGAGTCATCTCATCAAATTGGCCACACAAAATCTCTTATGCCGGGTGAGTGTAACTGTGTTTTCACCAACAGGGGGAGAAAAGCAACAGGCACTGTTTTGTTTTGGAAAGGCGATGCCATTTTAAAGCTCTTTGGAAAGAAGGGCAAAATGATAGTACCAAGCTTTCTAAAGGAGGCTGGTGTTACGTAAACACAAATTGCATCTATATCTTTTCATTGAAGAAACAGAATCAGCTCCAAAGAGTTCTGGATAACTTCTGTGAGGTATGCAACATACCCTCATGCAAAATCTTAGCTAAATACTTTCTCTGTGAAAAGGGAAGTGGACAATTGGTGTCTAGGTAGAGATGCAGTCATGGTGTTGGTGGAGATTCTGGATGTATGTGATATACTCCTGTAGACTCTGTAAAAAGCATTGAGTTTTCTAGTCCTTCATGCCCCCTTCATTGAACAATTGTAGAATGATACTGAGCAGATCAGGACTTCACAAATCAGAGGCAGATTATCCTTCTAGGGATCTACTGAAGAATAGATTCTAGATACTGAGATCAGTGACATACCCATCTTTGCTCAGATGTCGCCCTAGAGTCCACAAGGTACCCAATGCTCAAATTCCTCAGCCACATTGAAAATCATGTTTCCTCCTTCATGTCTCCCTGGTAAGTGAAATGCTGGAGTGGCCAGACTAAGAACAGACAAAACCATGATGGAGTTGCCTATGATGGAGTATTTTACTGATGGGAAGATATATTGGGAAAATGTGTATCAGGGAGAATGAAATCATTATTTTACTTTGGCATACTGTTAGTAAAAGTCAACTACTTTTAATTAAAAAAAAAGTATGACTGAGGTTGGACTTTTGGGGACAAAAGCTTCATCACACCTCAGGAGTCCCCAATATTTTAAAAGAGAAAATCTCATGGGTTACCTTTCTAAGGATGCATTCCACAAGACCTCACATTGAATATAGGAAGGCTAGACTTCAGGGTTGCCATTTAAGGAGTAAATTCTTTAGCTGATATTCTATAAGAGTCTCCAAGCAAGTATTGTGGAACTATAGTGTCAAATTTATTTTACTAGCTCTCAAGAAGGATTATAATATTATATTATTTTGGTCAAGATATAGCTAAAAATTATTCCTTACACATTTAATCCTTTCTATTCATACCCACCAGACCTCTGAATTTATAGTTGTGCAGTTTGAAAAAAATCTATTGACTACATACCTATTAGAATGGGAAATTTATAATAAAATGACAATACTAGTGCTAGCAGGAAATCAGAGAAAGTACAACTCTCATTCATTGCTGGTGGAAATGCAGAATGGTACAGCCATTGTGAAAAACAGGTTGGAAGTTTCTTATAAAGTTAAACATGCACATCACATATAACCCAACAACCCCACTGGTAGATATTAACTAAAGATAAATGAAAACATATGTCTGCACAAAATCCTTAATGCAAATGTTTATAGCAGGTTTATTGATACTCCCCAAAGGCTGGAAACAAGCCAAATATCCTTTAACTGAGTCAATAAACAAACTGGTACATCTGTATGTTGGACAGCTATTCAGCAATAAAAAGGAAATAACTACTGATTCATTTAATATGATGAATCTTGAGTGGATTATGCTAAAGAAGTCAGACTCAAAAGACTCTATATTTTATAGTTCCATTTTTATCACAATATAGAAAATGCATAACTATAAAGGCAGAAAAGAGATCAGTGGATGCCAAAGGCTGGGGTTGGGGGAAGGGGTTGACTACAATAACACAGGAGGGAGTTTGGGGAAGTGATGTAATTCTTCTATATCTTGATTGTTTGGTGCTTGAATGACTATGTGCTTGCCAGAACTCATAGAATTGTACACTATAAAGAATGAATATATATTCTATGTAAATTATACCTAATAAACCTGATGTTTAAAAGAAGTCAATTACTACGTAAGAAAACATCCATACTTCCATGTTTAAAAAAATTTATTGAGCATATACTATGTGTACCAAAGATGGGGAAGACTCTAAAACATTCCTTAGATTTTCTCTATTTAGCTATTTAAATCAAATCTTATCTGTACATTAATTCTAAAACCCTCCAATAGCTTTCCATTGCAATGAGAATAAAAGTTGAATTCCTAGTACTGGCTAGCAAAATGAGTCTACTGCCCTCTCTAATATTTTCTCTTACTCCTCTCCCCCTAGCCAATTAGGATCCAACTGTACAAACCTTCTTTTGTCCCATGGTCCTGTCATTCTCACTCCCATCTTGGATCACTGACCTTATAATTCTCTCCAACTAGAATGTTCACTTCCGTAAATCTCTCCAAGGTTACCTCTTACTCATTACTAATATCACTCAACTTTCACTTCTTCAGAGAGGCCTGTGGCTAAAGTAGTAGCCACCATCTCTGTCCCCATTGTTCTCTACTTCTTTCCTCTAACTCAGCGGTTCTCAACCTGTGGGTCGTGACCCCTTTGGGGATCGAATGACCCTTTCACAGGAGTCGCCTAAGACCATCGGAAAACACATATATAATTACATATTGTTTTTGTAATTAATCACTATGCTTTAATTATGTTCAATTTGTAACAATAAAAATACATCCTGCATATCAGATATTTATATTACGATTCATAACAGTAGCAAAATTACAGTTATGAAGTAGCAAGAAAAATAATTTTATGGTTGGGGGTCACCACAACATGAAGAACTGTATTAAAGGGTCGCGGCATTAGGAAGGTTGAGAACCATTGCTCTGATTTTTTTCATTGCTCTTATCACTATCTGAACTAGTAATTAAAAACCAATTAGATGTATCTTATGGGTTGAATGTGTGTGTCCCTCCAAAATTCATATTGACATCCTAACTCCCAGTGTGGTTATATTTGGAGATGGAGGCTCTAAAGAAGCAATTAAGGTTAAATAAGCTCAAGAGAGTGGGGCCATGATCTGGAAGGATTAGTGTCCTTATAAGAAAAGACACTACCGAGTTCTCCCTCTCTCTCGATCTCTCTCTCTCTCTCTCTCTCTCTCTCTCTCCCTCTCCCTCTCTCTCTTTCCCCCCACACCTATACATGGAGGAAATGCCACGTGAAGGCACAGTGAGAAGGCAGCCATCTACAAGCCAGGAATAGAGTCCTCATCAGAAAGGAATCTGCCACACCTTGATCTTGGACTTCTAGCCTCCAGAACTGTAAGAAAATAAATTTCTGTTGTTTAGAGCCATCTAATCATGGTATTTTGTTATGGAAGCTGGGCTGACTAATAGAATGCATGCATTGACTATTTTTCCCTCTAGTCTGACAGCTTCAAGAATGTTGAGGACACACTGACTTTGTTGTCTAGAACTGGGACTGAGACATAGTAGATACATAATTATAGGTTAAATGAACCAATGAACACAGGGCAGCTTGGGAAATAAGTAATGATTACAGGACAGGATGGCCAGTGCCAAGATGGTGGGAGAATAGAAGATGGGCCCCTAAACCTGTAGGAAACAGGGGGAGGATCCAGAGAAGATAGGCCAGCATCACATATTTGTAAATGCTTCCTGGAAACTTAACTAATACATGCTTTCTAAGCATGCATAGGTCTTAGTAACTAGGGAAAACAGTCCTTTTTCCACAAAAATCATGGTTTGCATTTAAAAATCTTCTTTAGCTCTTATCTTTGACAAGTCTTACTTATGAGGCATTGAATAGAAAGATGTATTTTGGGCTCATAATGACATGAGAGGCACTCATGACCACTCCACACACAGTCCTTCCCATTCCCCACGCGCTGATTAACTTCCATTAAAAACCCGGTTTCAGCCTCTTACACCAACGGAGCGCACTGTGCATCGCATTTTAGTGTGGCTGGTTTATTTTGTGAAATGTACCAATTGGAGTATTAAAAAGGAAAGCAATAAGGATTGGATTGATAGGCAGAGTTTACAGAAAATTCTACGGGGAAAACAGAGGGCAGACACATAAAGAAACTAGCCAAGGAAACTGATACTAACAGAGGGAACCCTTGGGGGTAAATTGAATGCATTTTTATTCTATCTGCTCTAATCCTAGCCATCCAACAAGAATGATATTTCATGCTTCCTAACAAGTTCCAATACTGCTGCTAAAGTCAGAGAGTTTATCTTCCCCAAAAATATCCTGGGAAGAACGGACCAGCACACTGTCTTGATCCCCTAATTCTGGTATTCTGCTAGAAGCTCTTCCCAAGTCCAAACATAAACCAGATGAATTTACAAGAAACCCTTGCTTACACCCTCACAAGAGAGGCTGCGACTGCATCTAAGGCTTAGAGATACAGTAGCTAAAAGAAAATACATAGGACCAGGCTCCAAAAAGAAAACTGCAGAATAAGTTTCTCAACCTCCTCACTCTTCTTTCTCAGTCCCTGCCATGTATCTGTCATGATTTTAAATGACTTTCATATAACCAGCACATTAAAAAAAAAACACAAATAAAACTTCAAGCATAGCTGTTCTGTTCCTGTTCTGTTACTCAGCAGAACCTGTTAGCCACAATAACAAAACGAAGGTAATTCTAACCATGTGACTTTATGCTATTTGTACCTGCTATATATGCATTCTGCTTTGCTAGAAGAGAATACTGGGAATGAATTCTTTAACAAACTATTTTCCTGGGAACAGTTGACTCTCTTACGAGATATTTCTTGGCTAAAATTCACATAACATTTTGTGTATGACAAGCATTCCTTTCATACTGTGCCCAGTGGTTCTAATTTGGAAGTGGCTTTGCTCCCCAGGGGACACTTGGCAGGATCTAGAGACA